AGCACATAATGGTCCTTCAGACTTGAAAATTCTGATCTTGTCCAAGTCTCATTTCCTTCCTTGGACTTTAGCGCTTCCATGGGTTGTCTCCATGAGCAACCTTTCTCCTCCCTCTAGACAATCATTTCCTTTTCTAAATTTACTTCCTTGTCAGGGGTTTGGGAGAGTTCCAGCCTGGAGCTTCCTCAGCACAACACCATCTGGCTATTTCCTTGAAAACTGAGCAGCCTCCTTGATCTTTGTGAGAGCATCAAGTGAAGGACTGACTTACAGAAACGCTGACTGGAGGACCTAGTTTCCAGAGGGATGACTTGTTGATTTAACACCCCACAAGGAACCCGATGAACTGACAAATGGGATATCCTTTTACCCAAAGACTGACTCTGGGAGAAACTACTAACGTGGAGGAAGTCTTAGCTGTTCTATAACCAGCTCATCAGGCGGCCTGAAAGTCCCCAAGCCTCACCAATGCCCCATCACTGTGGAGGTCCCCCAGGGATTCCCACCCCCACCTCTCCGTCCTCACCAAGCCCTGCTCGGCAGGAGTGCCAGGGAGCATGCGCAAGTCCATCCCGAGCCAGTGGGGCCTGATGATGCTCATGGGAGCGGCTGGGACCCTGAGGAGCGGCGAAGGGGAACCAGGCGAGTCTCCACTGTCTGAGCCAGCTCCAAACAATTGAACAACCGTCCCTACTGGGCCCCTTGGGCTCCAGCGGCCCTTGGGAGAATCCTCTTTCTCAAGCAGGGTTTCTAGACCCCTGCTAGACCTTGAGACACCAGGTCTAATATCAGCTTTAAGGACACTCTTCCTTCAAGCCGGTACATGGGGACAAGGAGGTGATGGGCAGATTGGAAGCCATTGATCAAGGATCAAAATGCAGAGTGTGCTCCCCTTAGGGTCAATCAGAAGTCACCTTGAGTACCCTCTTGTTTCCTGTCCTGTAATCAAGGCCTCTATCGTGAACAAAGCAAGACCCAGCTTTCCAGTTTCATGCCCAAACCCGTCACTGACCTATTCCTGTAATAGGGGCGCATCCGGAGTGCCAGCCGTTAACTATGACCGTAGCGGTCCTGCTCAGCCATTGGTCCTCATTGCAACAGGCCACGCCCCCCAAGTGAGCAACCGTTAGTAGTCCGCCCAGCCATTGGTTGGCGCTGCAGTGGGCTCCTCCCCCAAGCTAACGATCGTTAACGACCGTTAACCTTAGTGAGTCTCCAGTTAGGGGGTCCCTGTCAGTCTTCGGTTGGAATTGCAGTGGCACCCTCCCCTCCCCTTTCCCTCTATAAAAGGAGCCTGAAATTCAGACTGAGGGAAGATGTTTTTATCTGCCGCACTAGTCTGCCATCTTCTTGGTCTGATAGATTCCTAATTAAAGTCTTAGCCCTTCCCCCAACAACTCCAGATTTGTTGGCCTGCCGTGTGGTGAGCAAAACAAGTTTGGGCTTGGCAACAATTCTGACCAAGCCACCCAGGTATCTTGCTGCTTGTCACCAGAGTCCTGGTTGGGGAGTTTTCAGGTAAGACCGTAGCAGCTGCCAGGAACACTTGCCTGAGAATTTTCCTTTCAAAATTCCCTGAAGCAGCACCAGCTTGACAGTTGAAGCAAGGAGTGGACCTGTGAGAGTCGTCAGGCTCCATACATTAGGGAAAGTGGCTCCAGTGTGTACTGCCGGCAACATTCTCCCTTCTCAATTCTGACTTTTCCTTAAGGGAAAAGCCAATTGGTTTTGCATTTGATTGGGGCGCTCTGCTGGAGATGGGAATGCTGAACTCTGCTTGACTCGTGAACGGTTGGTTTGCTTTTGTTTGCATTCATTCATGATGGAATCTGCTTGCCCTTTTGGTATTGAGATTTGCTTGTGCTTTTTGTGTTCTGTTGTTTTCTTAACTTATAAATGTGGGGAAAATATCATCTGTCCCTAAGGAAAGCCCTTTGGGGGCATATATTTTTTAAAAGTGGACAAAATATAGCTGTGAGTCTGTGACTAAGAAGGAGATGACATTTTGCTGTAATAGTATGTGGCCCCAGTATACATTAGGATCAAGAGAGTGATGGTCCTTGAATGGGTCACTTCATTATTATACGATATTGCAGTTAGAATTGTTTTGTGAAAGAGCAAGTGAAAATGATGAGATCCCATATGCAGAAGCATTTACACTATTGTATCAGGAGGAAAAGAAGTCAGACAGCTGCTGCCTTATGGTACAGAGGTCTGAAGGGAAAACCAGGGGAAAATCTGTTTTACCAGAGAAAGAGGGAGAAAGTGAGACTGAGGACACATTTTTTTCAAAACTTAAACTCCCCTCTGGCCAACTTGGCTCCTCCACTGCCTGAATAGACTACACTGACAGTTGTTCCAACCACCCCCATGTCGCCAACATATTCACTTCTGTCAAAACTTCCTGTTTCTCCTACTTATAGGGATCAGATAGAAGTTTCTGTTAACCCCTGGGGCACAGGGGCCTGGTACTGTGTCATCATCTAAGACAGGACAGCATACCCCATTTGGATAGGGAGCCACTTCCATGTGTGCATGCTCATTCATTCAGTCATGTCTGATTCTTTGTAACCAGAGGGACTGTAGCCCAACAGACTCCTCTTGTCCTAGGCAAGAATACTGGAGTGGGTAGGCATTCCCTTCTCCAGGGGATCTTCCCGACCCAGGGAGCAAACCCATATCTTCTGCATTGCAGGCAGACTCTTTACCTGCTGAGCCATCGAGGAAGCCCATTTGGACCTGAGCCACTTTTAGAGCAGGGCAGTTTCCCTTGCTGTGATATCCTGTAGGAGGTCTCAGTGCAAATGGTCAACCAGCTGAGTTTCTATTCTCAACTTCATATTTGTTTAATTGGAAAAACCATAACCCTGCTTATCGAGAGGACCCCCTCTGCATGACTGAACTTTTCACTTCTGTCTTTGCCACTCACCATGCCTCTTGGACAGAATATGAGTCTTTCAGGGAATGAAAGGAGGGTGGTCATTGACAGGGCTAGAGAGGAAGTGCACCAGCTCCATCTGGTGGATCCAGATGGAACTCCAGGAGCAAATCTAGTAGAAGTTCCCACTGCTGAGCCTGACTGGGACTAGAGCATTATAGGAAGTGTATCTTAGCAGGTCTTTCAAAAGGAGTACCCAGCCAAAAGAGCTTAGATAAAATTTAGCATATACACCAAAAACCCAATGATGATTCATCAGAATTTCTAGAAAGAGAAACCACACTGATACAGGCCCTGAGGCCCCTGAAATATGAGAATGGTAAACAAGACCTTAATTAGGCCAAGCACCCCAGATATAAGAAACAAATCACAAAAGTTAAATGGTGCATTTGGAATAAACTCTTCGTAATTAGATGTTGCTTTTAAAGTGTTAAACAACAGGGAACAATGAGAAAGGAGCAAGAGGATGCAAGACTGAAAGCCACTTACCTGGCTGCAGCAGTGGATTCCCAGAGACAGAGTAACTGGAAGAGAGGAAAACAATGAAAGACAGACAGGAACCTCTCATGTGGTAGAGAGAAGACTCTGATGATGTCCCAGGAACCCCAGGTAACTGTGACAGTGGGGACAAGCTGACTTTCTGATAGATACAGTGCAACATACTCAGGTAAACACCAAGATGGCCCAGAGGACATCTCAGTCCATCCAGTCACAGGAGTTTCTGGAGAAGTGTAAAGTTGTTCTTTCTTACAACCTCTGGAATGCTGCTTAAAGGACCTCAACCTGAAACATAGCTTCTTATATATGCCAGTGTGTCCAATCCTTCTTTTGTAAATTAAATGCTCAAGTAAGTTTTTCACCAGAACAGCTTGACATCAGGCAATTGTCAACATTTTGAGCTAGAATTTTATGCAGACCATGAGGTCCAGTGTCTGGTTTCTTTGCCTCATTGTACGGCACGTGGTAGGTGCCTGTATTTCTGTGGGATGTGTGAACTGCATGCATACATGGGTGGCTTATGTCAAATCTGCCTTGAGCACAAGATGACCATCTCACTGGTGATGACAGATGGGAGAACCCTCAGACTTACAAACAATGCCCCAGTAAAGAGATGGCACTTTTCTTATCCTCTGAAAAATTACCAGCATCTGGCTCCAAAAAAGAAAGTTGTCATTCATTCGGAAGGGAACACACAGCTGGGGTCCATTCTCATGCCAGAATCCTATTCTCATTCCTTGTGTTCCTTTGTGGTCAAGAAATATTGCAATAACCTCCATTTAACTGGGCTCTTTGCCTCCAGTCTTAACCTCTTCTACATACACCTCAGGTGTACATTCCCTGGTGGCCTAGTGGTTAAGACTCTGCCTGTCAGTGCAGGGGACATGGGTTCAAGCACTGGTCCGGAAGATTCCACATGCCTCGGAGCAACTAAGCCCACATACTACAAGTACTGAACCTGTGCTCCAGAGCCTGTACTCCACAACAAGAGAAGCCCCACTAACTGCAACTAGAACAAGCCTTCAAGCAGCAATGAAGACCCAGTGCAGCCAAAAATAATTAATTAAGCTTAAAAAAGTACACCTCAATAACTACTCCTGGGGTCGTCTTTCACTATCTAGTCACTTTATTTCTTTGTTTCAAACCTTCTAACAGTTTATTCATTCACTCAGTTATTCAACAAACATGTTTTAAAGTCTATTTTAGGAACCATTCTGGTGCTGGTGATACAAGCAGAAAGCAAGACAGACAAGATCCCTGTTTTCATGGACAAGGTCCCACAGATAAGGTCCCAATGTCTTGTGATGGCATTCAGGGCTTTTATGTCATTTCTCTTCCTACATCTCTCAATATCTCTTTTCACTCACTTTCTACCCAGGCACACCTCAAGTAAGGATACTCAAGTTCAAAGAGAAGGAGGGTGGGGTTGGCAAAAGATCTTATCCAAAGACATAACCACTAAGCATTCAAGCAAGGATTCAATCTGTGTGTGATGGCTCTTGTGTATATATTTCAGGTACTAGGTGCATAATACGGGCTCAAAAACTATTTCTTGGTGGACATATTTCACAATCTCACCTTTATTTCTCCTTCTTTTGAAGGAGCTCCCAGGATGGAGCACCTGTCTTCTGGCTAATCCAAACAACATATCACAGAGTTTGCTTTCAGGGGTTCAAAGACCAGGTCCCGGGTAACCCTATTCAATGGATAACCAGTGAGGGGGCAGGTGGGACTGGAGAGGGCTTCGTGGGCTGAGGATGCTCTGGGGGCTCCGAGTTTGTTGTAGACTCCAGGGTTCCTGGGGTCTCTAAGGATTCTATGGACTTTGGTGACTCCAAGGGTGATGGGGACTTCAGGTATGAATGTTGTTTTCACAGGCTTTGTCAGCTTCAGTTTATCCTGCTCTTCCTGGAAGTTTGGGGTGATGGGTCCTGCAGGGCAGGGCAAAGAAAGAAGGATGTTGGAACAGGTCGAGAGGTGAGGTACCCAAATCTGAAAAGGACAGAATTCTGTCCCTTTCTTTGAGCACTGAATTTAAAGGCAGTGTGGAGCAGGGATTGGCTTCACCTTTCATCAAAATCCCCATGGTTGGAGCCTGCCACCCTGTGTATTCTCAGCACCACGAGTCACCCAGCTCTTTCCAGACTCCCCTGGGAAGTTCTGCCTGAGTTCTCCAGGGAACTTCAGTCTCTCACCCCTCTGGGCAACCATCACCCCAGCCCAGCCTTGTTACTGTGATGCTGCCTTCCCCACAAGCCTGGCTGCTCTGAGGGCAGGGCCTGGGCCCGGTCCATTTCTGAGACCCCAGCATGGAGAACAGGAGATACTGCAGGAAATACTGGTGGAATTTAACAGATGTCTGGTTTACCCACAAAGGGACACCAGCTCCCAGTGCAGGGAGTAAGGAGAGCAGCAGGGCACTTCTGGCCCTAGAGAATCGTAATGACTAAAGAACAGTGAGACCGGCTACTCGGGTGCTGACCCCTCTAAGCCCTGCTGAGGATGGGGGTACAGGGGGAACAAAGGGGTAACCTGGGCGTGGCCTGGTCTTCAAGTCTTTCAGGCTGACCTGGGCCTGTGGCACCTACAGGCTGTGCTGACTGCAGCCTGCCAAGCGCTCAGAGACCAAACCCTTTGATTTCCACTCCAATGCTACAATTGCTGTTAGGAGTACTCCCAATCCTCTTCTCAGTGGTGACTCACAGTGTGTGTGTGTGTGTGTGTGTGTGTGTGTGTGTGTGTGTGTGTGTGTGTGTGTGTGTGTGTGTGTGTGTGTGTGTGTGTGTATGTGTGTGTAGGGGGAATGAGTTGCTGATTCTAATGACCCTTTAAGTTACTCCTCTTAATTTTCATCTGTCTTCCCCTCCCTGGGTCTTAGTGTCACCATCTATAAGATGATGTGTAAGCATGCTCTGGCATTCTAGAAGTCCTATAAGATTGAGGATGGTATTAATACTGCCTTTACACACTGTGTGTGCCTCTCCTTATGGGTCTTGTGATTGTTACTCTGATAGGCTGGATTCCAGACACATGGGGTACCTACCAATATCTAGTGCTCAGGAGACGGGGTGACTCTGGATTTTCCTGGTTCCTTGGGCCTTAGAGACTTCTTGAGTCCTTGGTGGACTCTTTTCTGCCTTCATTGCTGCAATTTTCTTTGCCTGCTTCATTCTGATATGTTTCACTCTAAGGAAAAGACGCTCTTGATCAGTTCTGGCTCTCCACCCGCGATATGGGCTCTGATCTCGCTGGGAAGTGCTAGTTTAGAGCCTGGGTTGTCTGGGGGTGAGCCATGTAGCCTCTCTGGGGATTGCTTTCCTACTGTGGACAACAGGGACTCATGCTTGTCAGGCTGTGGGGCTCAGATGAGGTCAGCTATGAAAGGGCTGTGCAAACTCTAAGTGATTTTTATTGGTCTTCAAGTCCAGCTGACTTGGTTAAAACATAACCCCCCAGGGATTTCACTGGTGGTCAAGTGGTTAACACTCAGCGCTCCCACTGCAGGGGTCACCAGTTCAATCCCTGGTCGGGGCACTAGATCCTACATGCCATGCAGCATGCCCTCCCCGCCCCCCAAAAAAGCCACCCAGTTGACCCTGCCACCTCACTCCTCTTCTTCCTCACCCTGATGGACAGTTATTCCCAAGTCTCTCTGCCCCTCATCACTTGCCCAGCTCAGGCCTGGCTTAGATGGCGACACCAGCCTCTTGCCTCTCCCTCTCCGGACTGTGCCCCCCACCCCCCAAGTTCACACCTTCCGTCCCAGCTGACTCCTCCATGGTCCTCTACTAAGGATTAAGTCCAAGACGTCTCGACTGACCAGAGGCTCCCCTGCCCAGCTCTCTGCCCAGCCTCTGGCCTCTCTGCCCTTCTCACTCCAGGCTTCCAGCCAGCACGTTTAGCCAAGTCTCAGGAGTCTTTATGAACCAACCCCAAGAACCTTTATCAACTTCGTTTTTAACTGTTAGTTGTGACTCTCAATGCACCTGATGTTGCACAAAGACAACAGAAGTCCCTCAGATGTGTTCCTGGGGTCTCTGCACATGACTTTCCACCAAGTGAGCAAGTGCTCAGCCCTGCTGCCACTTGAGACAGCTCCCCGGGGACTCGGCTGGTTACACTTCCTCCTCCACTTTCTCCTTCTTGAAGTTCTTTGAAAGCCTCGGTCCCTTGGGCCTGTTTTGTGGCTCTGTATAGTCCCGATGGCCCTGGCTCGTGGGGCCCCTGTTTGCTGCCAGACCCTGAGTTCCTCAAGAGTGGGAGGGGGGGGGGCGTCCATCCAGAGCCACAGGCCTGGGGGTAGCAGGCTCTGGGAGAGGCTGAATGGCGAATGTTTTTAACTGGAGGATAATTGCTTTATGATGTTGTGATAGTTTCTGCTTTACAGCAATGTGAATCATCTGTATGTATGCTTATATCCCCTCCGTCTTGAGCCCCCCTCCTTCCCGCCCCATCCCACCCCTCCGGGTCATCACAGAGCACGGAGCTGAGCTCCCCGTGCTATGCAGCAGCTTCCCATTAGCTAAACACTTTACACACGGTAGGGTACGTATGTCAGTGCGAGTCTCCCAACCCGTCCCACCCTGACCTCATGCCGAACAACGAGCAAGACAGGAACGCATCCCACCCATCAACAGACAGGCTGCCTAAAGCTGTACTAAGCTTACGGTGAATCTTAACCTCGGTACTCACATGAGTGGGATGAGGCAGAGGAAGAGCAGTGTAACTCCGATGGCTCCGTAGAACACACCCCGAACCAGCCCTTTCATGAAAGTCTGGGCGACCAAAGAACTCCTTCCTGGAGGTAGACAGCTCGTGAGATGGGGTTCTCCCCAGGGACCTCCCAGCTCCCTCCCCTGGCCCCAGGGCCCACCCCCTCTTCCCCACCCTCACGGGGCCCTCCACCATCACCTGACTTCAGCAGGATGGTCAGGGTGTGGGTTCCCTCTGGGTTCCTGCCCTCACAGAGCAGGCTCATGCCTGTTTCAGGCGGCTCGGTCAGATGGATGGTGCTGTTGGCCCAGGGGCCAAGTGTGGCAGAAGTCACCCGAAGGCCTGTGCGGTTCATGACCACGGGAGCGCCCCCCACCCGCCACCGCACGGAGGGCGTGGGGGTCCCCCAGAAGGAACAGCTGCACTGCAGAGTCTTCTTCAAGGAGCAGGAGGAATCAAGCAGCCTGGTGGGCGCTGTGGCGGAGGGAGGGTCAGGAGTCAGCAAGCATCCTGACTCCCTGTCTGCCTCCTCCAGGACCCAGCCTTTCCCTTATTTGTGATAAACCAGGAACTTCAGAGAGACTTTCTGGGGCTTCCCCAGTGGCTCAGTGGTAAAGAATCTGCCTGCCAGTGCAGGAGACACGGCTTCAATTGCTGGTCCTGAAAGATCCCACATGCCATGGAGGAACTAAACCACAGCTACTGGGCCTGTGCTCTAGAGCCCGGGAACCACAGCGACTGAGCCCATGAGCCAGAACTACTGAAGGTCAGGCACCCTAGACGCTGTGCGCTGAAAGGAGCCACCGCAGTGAGAAGCCCGCTCACTGCAACTAAAGAAAGTCAAAGATAAATAAGTGAACAAAGTTATATTAAAAAAAGAAATATTTTTTGGACATCCGGAGGAGTCAGGCCTCACAGACCAGTTGCCCTCCACCCTTTCTTCTCCTCTGGCCTGAACCGGAGCACTCACCTTTCCAGACCGATGGTAGAGGAGTCTCCTGAGGCTCTGCATTGCCTGCGATCCCTCATCCACCCCCACCCAGGCTAGACTTCCCACCCTCAGCTCCTCTCTTCCTTGCACCCCCAGCTCTGGCCCTTCCAGCTCCACCTGTGGTCAGATTTTTCCCTCCATCACTGTCTGGATGCTCCTGGCAAGTCACTCGCTCTCTGCTCTTTCCTAGTCTGGAAAACGGAGAGACTCCCTGAGCCCATCTCACTGTCATTGCTGGAGAGTAGAGGCACACAGTGAATGCCTGAGATTTGTTGTGTTCCTGTCTCAGCGCATGGCCAAGCACCACTCACTGAGGTGACAGAACCCGTCTCTAGATTTTTATCTTCCCCATCCTGGTGGCCGTGGACTGAGCATTCATCTTAAGCAAAGACTGCTATGCAGGTTTCTGAGTAAGAACACCATGAAACCGCCTCACTCTCCGTAGAGCAGGTCAGACACGTGGTCCATCCGGTAGGATCGTGGATTAATAAGGGATAATCATGCTCTTCAAGGTCTCCAATAATGAGGAATTGGTCCTTAGCATTTCCATGTACTTAGTCATTGGAGTTGTTTGAGGTTACTGGAGGAAAGGGGTCATTTCCCCCCGAACAGTTGCCCTTGATCTTGGGCTTTCTGTTTGGGTCACTTGAGGGGATGAGGAATTTGCAGGCCTCTCCTCTACTTCCCTTGCTGACCTCCACATTATTCATTTTTACCATCCAGGGAAGCAGGCCATGGAGAGCTATCGAAAGAGGCTGAAAAAAACTTACTAACTTTGGAACTTGGAGCATGCTAGCAATATTCAGATGGCTCCTGTGCTCAAATATCTTCAGATCCCCCTGATGAGCTCCCACCCTCACCCTCAACTCTACTCCCTGGCGCAGACCCACCCTCACCTCCCCAAACCCCCCACTCCTGCCAGAATCTGGCCCTCAGATGCTTAACCCACATTGGTTCCTTGGTGCCCTATACCCTTGCATGCCTACTTGGTTGTGTCCGACTTTTTGCAACCCTGTGGACTGTAGCCCACCAGGCTCCTCTGTCCATAGGATTCTCTAGGCAAGAATACTGGAGTGGGTTGCCATTTCCTCCTCCAGGGGGTCTTCCTGACCTAGGGAATGACCCTGCGTCTCCTGCATTGCAGGCAGATGCTTTACCGCTGAACCATCAGGGAAGCCCACCCTAAACCCTTAAGTCCTCTTGTTTCACGTCACCACGGCCCGACCCAGCCTGGCTCTGGAGCCTTGGCTTCCTCAGACCCCTCCAGCGCTACATCTCTTCCCACTCACCCAGGTGGAGCCCTGGCGGTGCCATGAGCAGCAGCAGTTGTTCTCGGCACAGGAGAGGCCCGCGGCCTTGACCACGGCTGGCCCCGAAACCCGAGCTGTGTGGTTCAGAAGGGGTGATGTGATGAATAACTGGAAGAGGCTGTGGAGTGGGGAGAACAGAAAGAACTCTTAGCCAGCGGGGGACTTCGGCCTCTTCAGTCACCCTGAAGGCGCGTCCCCTCTGAGAAGCAGGAGTTCTGTGGGATGTGATGCCTGAGGGCCTGCAGACAGGACAGCACCACCGTGATCCTCTGTGATGCCCCGAAGTCACATCTCCTTCCCCCCTAGTCTGTCACTCCCCTCCACAGCCCCCTTGGGAGGGTCTGTAGTCCCAGGTCTGCAGGCTTCCTCTAAAGTTTACGGGTACCACATAAACTGTTGTGGCACAGGGAGCTGGGTACCACAGGGAGACAGGATCAGGTCTGGGGGTTCGGAATGTCCCCCTGGGGCCCTGATGAAAAATGGCTTGGAGGCGGAGTAACCGCAGGCCCTGTGGGGAAGAATGGCAGGCTGGAGCTGGTGCACAGGCTGTAAGAGATGGAGAGGATGGGACCAATTTAACATATGGGGGGAATAAAACTGGATGGGGGTTCCTACTGCTGATGGGAAAAGTTCCAAACCTCCTTGTGTTGTAACTGAGGGTCCCCACAAGTTTGCTTCGCCCTTGTCTTATGTCCCCGTGTCTTTCTCAACTTTTCCCTGATGTTCCCCTTTCCAAATTTCACCCTAAACATAGCTCTCCCGTCATCAGGGACTCCTCTGTTTCCCAGCTTTTCCTCCTGTAGCTCTCCTCTGTCCACATTCAAATCCTTCTTCAGTTTCACAGCTGAGTTCAACACTGCTTCCTCCACACAGCTTTTCCTGATTGCCCCACCCAGTCAGAAGTGGGTAATCTCTCCCCTCCCAGAATTATCAAGTGATTAAAAAAATTTTTTTATTTGGCTGCATTGTGTCTTAGTTGCAGCACGCTGGCTACAGGGCATGTAGTTGCTCCACAGCAGGTGGGATCTTAGTTTCCCGACCAGGGATGGAAACTGTGCTGCCTGCACTGGGAGGCAGAGCCTTAACCACTGGACCACCAGGGAAGCCCCTATCGAGTAATTTTATTTGTTCTTTTCTGGAGAAGTGATTTTTTTCCTCATGACAGAGTGATTTGTTTTTGTGTAGATGCCAGATAGTAACTTACCCTTATTTTCATTACTCACAAATTCAACCTGTTTAGGGGTGCAATATTGCCAGCTAAAGCACTACTGGCCTCCTTTGCAGTTAAGAGGGGACAGTGTGACATTGTTTTAGTGGAAGTGAGCTGGGGATTCTTGGGAAAGTTTTTGCTTTCCTCCTACTGTCCTTTCTTCCTTCCTGTCACTTCCTTCTTCTTCCTCCTAGAATATGGATGTGATACTGAAGGTGGAGCAGCAGTTTGGCAACCATGAGGTAACCATGAGGAAGAAAGCCACTCATGGTGATGTTCATTTAAGGATGCTTTAGCAGAACAATTCAAGAAGCCTAGCTCCCTGACAGCCTTGTAGAGCTGCTATGCCAACCCTAAACAGCCTAGCTCTGCACATCTTTTTTTTTTTTAATTGATGTATAGCTGATTTAATGTTCATTTCTGCTATACAGCAAAGAGATTCAGTTTTATATCTGGAGAAGGAAATGGCAACCCACTCCAGTATTCTTGCCTGGAGAATCCCATGGACAGAGGACCCTGGCAGGCTGTAGTCCATGGGGTCGCAAGAGTTGGACACGACTTAGCAAAGGACATGATATATATACATATATATATATGGTGGTGGTTTAGTTGCTAAGTTGTGTCCGACTCTTGTGACAGGCAAGAATACTGGAATGGGTTGCCATTTCCTTCTCCAGGGGATCGTCCTGACCCAGGAATTGAACCCAGGTCTCCTGCATTGCAGGCAGATTTTGTTACCATCTGAGCTATGAGAGAATCCCTATATATATGTGTGTGTGTGTATATATATATGTATATATATATATATATATATGTATATTCTTTTCCATTATGTTTTATCACAAGGTATTGAATATAGAACCTTGTTGTTTATCCATTCTGTACTCTCAATCCATCCCTCCCCCACCCAGCTCCCTCTTGACAGCCTATATCAACCTTGACAATCCTATATCAAATAGACCTTTGTGCCCTCTGCAGAGCTTAGAAATGAGCTTGTTTGATAGTCACTGATACAATGTCCACATCAATCTCACCTTCCTTGAAACTATTGCTCCCACACACACTTGTTTTTTTTTGAAAAGCACCGACTTCAGAGCAGGAGCCCTGGGTTTGAGTGCCGAGTATGTCGGCTATGACACTGATTCACTGGGGAAACACAGACAACTCCTCTTCCTCTCTGGGCCATTTCTGCAGTAATTCTGCAATAATTCCTGGGAAAGAGGCAGAATGAAGAAATACGTCTGGGCATGGCCTTCCTCATTAGCATTTTAATCAAGCATCACCAAAGACATCATGGGTATTTCAGGTTCCAGGATTATTTTATGTCCTCAGACATTGGGTTGGTCTCAACTGATTTCTGGTAAAATATTCCAGCAGCCGCCACTGTGGAGCTCATTGGCTTTTGCCATAAACTCTGGCCTGCATAAGGATTACGAGACTTCTTTCCAGTAATTTTATAGACAGGGGCTAGCAACAATCCCTGATGTAGAATATGTGTGTGTCCTCCAAAATACAAATAGGCCAATCAGACACTGGGCTTCTAACTTCTTTTTTCCACCAGATACCCTGTACTTTTCAAATTAACAAACCCTGTGTGGGTTTGGGCAGTTTTATTGGTTCCCATTTATTATGTCCAATCAATTTTGGTTGAAGGGAGGATTTATAAGTCTCCTGTTTAATAATACTAGGAAGGGGAAATGTTCCCTGGTCATACAGAGTATCTATTTATTAATACACTGAGGTAAAGGAGGAGATCCAATGACTTTCCATGAAATCTGTTTAAACATTCCAATCTTCATCTAAACTCCCACAGTAATCCCATCAAATCTTGAATTTCCATAGCTTCCCCATTCAACTATAACTCCTATTAGGACTGACTAGCATCCAGTCCCATCATTTCATGGCAAATAGGATGAGAAAAAGTGGAAGCAGTGACAGATTTTATTTTCTTGGGCTCCGAAATCATTGCAGATGGTGACTGCAGTCATGAAATTAAAAGATGCTTGCCCCTTGGAAGGAAAGTTATGACAAACCTAGACAGCGTATTAAAAAGGCAGAGACATCACTTTGCTGACAAAAGTCTGTATGGTCAAATCTATGGTTTTTCCAGTAGTCACGTACAGATGGGAGAGTTGGACCATAAAGAAGGCAGAGCACCAAAGAACTGATGCTTTCAAATTGTGGTGCTGGAGAGGACTCTTGAGAGTCCCTTGGAGATCAAACTAGTCAAGGCCAAAGGAAATCAACCCTGAATATTCATTGGAAGGACTAATACTGAAGCTGAAGCTCCAATACTTTGGCCACCTGATGCAAAGAGCTGACTCTTTGGAAAAGACCCTGATGCTGGGAAAGACTGAAGGCAAAAGGAGAAAGGGGACGACAGAGGATGAGATGGTTAGATAGCATTATTGACTCAATGGTCATGAATCTGAGCAAACTCTGAGAGATTGTGAAAGATAGGTGGGCCTGGCATGCTGCAGTTCATGGGGGTCACAAAGAGTCAGACATGATTGAGTGACTAAACAAGTTTTAGAATCACAGAGTGTGAGGCTCCCATGTTAAGGAGTCTCAGAAACATGTCTTCTCCGTTTTACTGCTAATGTGCATATGGCTTTGAGTGCCCCGCTGGAAGTGGGGCCAAGGAACCCAGGCCCTTTAATCAATCTTTATCTTGATTAGGTTATGGGACCATCTCCATGAGGTGATTTGCAGTCAGATTCCTCATTGTCTTATCTGTCTTGTGGCTTTTGAAATTCCCCCAAACTAGGGTAGATAGAGCAGACTTGACTGAGGTCCTTCAGTGCTGGGGGATGATCCAGGGTTCCCACTGGTCTACCCAGTCTCCCAGAGTGCTGCACTGAGACCTTCGTTTTGACCCCATCAATGTCCACTTTATCCCAACTCTTTTTTAGAATTAATCAATTAATTTTTGGCTGGGCTGGGTCCTCGTTGCTGCATGTGGGCTTGCTTTAGTTGCACCACTCGGGATTCTCATTAAAGTGGATTCTCTCTGTCGTGGAACACAGGCTCTAGGCCCACGGGCTTCAGTAGTTACAGCACACAGGCTGAGTTGCCCCTCTGACATGTGGAATCTTCTTGGACCAGGGATGGAACCTGTGTCCCCTGAACTGGCAGGCAGATTCTTAACCATTGGACCACCAGGGAAGTTCCTATTTATCCCATTTCTTAAGGACTGTTTAAAGATTTCCACCCTGTCGGACTTTGACTCTCCCCTTCATCTTTCTTCATTCTCTTGTGAATCACTTTAATGTTTTGTGCTCCCTGTGGTTTCAACATAACTCTTCCCTTTAGTAGCAGCAGCCCGAGGCTAACAGCTTTATCCTGGGCTGGACAGAACCCAAACTGGGCTCTGTGTCAGGATCCAGCCTGGCCTTTTCCTTTTCTTTCACCTTAGCTATTAAAGATACAAATAACCCAGGATCATGCATTTAGCTTGTTCTTGTTATGTTGCATTTTCTTATGCATCCAGTGAGTCAACTTTTTGGATGTTGTATCCATCATTGAAAAAAAAAAAAAGGTAACTTTTAACCTCCTGTAACTAATTACAGAACAGTTGTATTTCAGGAACTCTTGAGTAACCCTGGGGCCACCCAGGAATCAGAGTCATCATCTCCTGTCCTCATATCCTCCTTTTCCCATATGATGTGCTTCAGTGGGTCCTGTTTGTTCTAGTGGATTTCATTTCTATGCCAGCAGCAAACTAGAGAACAGTCTGCAAGATGCCTCATTCCTGAAAGCAACTGAAGATTGCAGGGGTCCCTAAAAGCCCCTCATTTCTGACATCTTTTGAAAGTTTGGGGGCCCTCAGGACTACCCTCAAGTTTGATAATTTACTGGAAGTACTCCCAGAATTCACAGAAGGAACTTCCCTGGAGGTCCAGTGGTTAAGACTTAGCACTTCTGATGCAGGGGGCATGGGTTCGATCCCTTGTCAGGGAACTAAAATCCCAGGTGCTGCAGGGTTCAGCCAAAAATAGGAAACAAAAGAATCCTCTTCCAGAATTCATTGAAAGCTGTTTTAGGTTACTGTTTTTTGCAACTAAAGGATACAGATTAGAATCTGCCAAGAGAAGGAGCACAGATGGCAGAGTCTGGGAAAGTTCCAACCAGACAGCTTCCTGTTCTCCTCTCCCTGAGGAGTCAGAGACAGAGCAACGTAAACATTCTGGAGTTAATGCCTGACAACAGGCCTGGAAGACTGACAACCACAGAAGCTCACCCAAACCCTGTGTCCAGAGTTTTTTCTGGGCCTTCATCATGAGGGCATCTGTCCTCACGGCAGATTTTATTCTCCTGCTCCTTCTGAAGGTACTGATACCACAGGATCCAAAGACCCCACTGGAAATCACTTGTTAAACTGTCTTGTGTGGCCAACTCCTGCCCTTAATCACAGTTGAAGACTCTTCAGTATGATGCCAGGACCTCAGGCAAATAGAGACACTCCTATCAGGCAGGACTTCCCAGGGTTTAGAGATTATACCTCCTGGAATCCAAGGGCAAAGGCCAGACCTCTCTTTGAACTCCATTAATTTCCTTACTACATAGAATGATGTGTGCTAAATTCAAGGTAGCAGTTATCGCCAGATTTTAGTGGTAGATACGGTTGGGGAAGGGGTGCAAAGGGTGAGTGTTTTAAATTTTAAGCTGAATGGTAGGTGCATACTCTTTTGTATACCATTTTTATACAGTTCTGTAAAGAATCTGCCAGCAATGTAGGAGAACCGGGTTCGATCCCTGGGTCAGGAAGATCCCCTGGAGAAGGGAATGGCAACCCACTCCAGTAGTCTTGCCTGGAGAATTCCATGGACAGAGGAGAAATGAAAAATTGATCATTTCATTTATTTAGAAGTTTTATTTATTTATTTTTGTTTTGGCTGCATCTCATGGCATGCAGAATCTTAGCTCCCTGACCAGGGATCCAACTGGCATCTCCTGCATTGCAGGCTGAGCCACTTGGGAAGCAAAGATGGATTAGTAAGCAGGGGAAAAAAAAAAAGAAAGAATCACCTAATTAGGCCATAATGAGATTTTAAAAACCTTTAACTTAAACTAGTATTTATTGTTTACTATGTATCTGTCAATTTCACATACACATAGTCTCATTTACATCCCCATCAACAACCGGAGAGATTGAATACACAGAAACAATAGCCAGACTATATATGACCCTCAAGTCTCAGCCGTATGACATATATGACTCTGATCCTCAATTACTGGCAACTAGTCCAAGAAACCAAACCACTACTGCAGTGACAGTTAGCCTAGAACAGTCAGAGTTTGGTCCATAAGTATCAGGTTCCTTATCATTTACCCCTGTTTCCAGCTCAGAACCAACCAAAGAAAACCAAATATGCTCTCCAACCCAACCACAGAAGGTGCTAACCCTCCAACTTTCTCATGATTAAAATCATCTCCCAACACTGCTGACACTCCTTCACTTTTTTCCACTCTAAAGGACTCCCACTGCCTTGCCCGCCTTTGTAGTCTTTGCCGAATGCAAATGGTGGTGGCTGGCTCTCTCACTACAGCAAACTCTGAATCAACAGCATATTTGTTCTCATATGGGTGGTTTTCATTTATTTCCACAAGTCCTATGGAATTAAGTGTTATGATTTCCCCTTCATAGAGGAGAAAATGGAAACTCAGAGAAATAAGTGACTTTCCCAGAGTCACTGAACAAATACAGTTAGAGATGAACTTAAAACTTGTTTCTCTTTTTCCACACCAACTTTCAAGAGTGTAGGGATTATAAGCTCCCCAAATTCTCTGTCCAACAGGCACCATGGGTACTGTACAAATTACTATTAAATGTTTAAACAGCCTTGCCCTATTCTCAGGGCTTCCTAGGTGCTCAGAGATAAAGAATCCTTCTGCCAATGCAGGAGATGTGGGTTTGATCCTTGCATCGGGAAGCTCCACTGGAGAAGAAAATGGCAAGCTACTCAGTATTCTTGTCCAGAGAATGCCATGGACAGAGGAGCCTGATGGGCTACAGTACATGGGGTCGAAAAGAGTTGGACAAGACTGAGCATGCATGCAGCAATGTAGCCCCCATCTCAGAAAAAGGAAAAAGTCACCTAAAATTTAGGAAAATGTCTCTAAGTCAAA